CATGGTTTAATTAAAACTCTTATCCCAAATGTCTCAATCCAACAAAAACTCCTATTTTAATAGTGCTTGTTTAGCTAAACTCTTCTATAGAGTTTAGTTCCACTAAAACTTTGTCCAAAAAATCCTAATCAAACTAAAATTCTTCTAACAAGTCTTGATCCAGCAAAAGCTCCACCTAAAATCTAGATAGTTTTAATAAAAAAGAAACTCTGTTCAACTTAACCCAACTCACATGCCTATACCTATGGCTATTATGTTAGATCTTGTATCAAGCAAAGTTGCTCAGGTATAATTTCTATAAATCTCTAGGCATTTTAAGACTCATTAAATTATAAGCATGTTGACATATCATCCATGATCATAGACCATGTATCTTAGGAATGCAAGATGGTATGTCATGTAATTGAAATTTGGATTTACATTACTACTGAGGATGATGGATATTTTTCTTGTAAATTCATGTTTAGTATGTCATGCAATATGTTTTCATTTAGATTAGGTAAAAAGAAATGGGTTGTATTAAATATGCCCTAGAGGCATTTTATTGAATTGTTATTATAATATATGGTTTAAACAAGGTTGCATTTCATGCTTCTTTAATTACACTTTCCCACTTTATATAATGTTGCATGAACTATTTTTTTTTTTTTTTTGTAAAATTGATCAATGTCATGATGCCTACATCATTAATAGTTGATAAACCACTCGAGCTGGCAGCCTACATGTATATTTTTAGTTGCATGATTTGGCCTCATGGGACATATAAACTATCCATATGCATTGCTTATTACCTGGAATAAAAATAAGAGACATACTCTTTAATCTGTAAACTAATTAGGCTGTCGATCTAAAGTGTATAAATAGAAGTTGGGTTTATCCTAGACGTGGTTTAAAGCTTTGATTCCTCAAATATCCTATTTACTATCTTCAAACCAAATTCTTTGGCAAAGATGGGATTAACCTTGAAACCAATATCAATTTCTAAGATCATAACCTTCGATTTCAACATTAAAATGGACGCTAGGGGTGAAACCAACACCACTTACACCTTTAACTTCAAATTGTCATCTAATCTAATTATTCCAAGAGTTTCTGCAAACTTTATGACATGTTTACAAGCATCCTTGATCTTTTATTATTGAATTACTTGAGCTTAAGACTAGTGTAGTCCTTGGGATATGGCTTAGCAGCCACATTACTAGGATAAGGTAACTTGATATCAAACTAAAAAAATGCTTAAACTCTTCTTTTTTTGCTTAAGCAACTTTTGGAGCTTCTCTTTCATGACAAACCTTGAGTTGTGATCAAAAGAAAAGTCATAATAGCTAAGGTGTTATTCACACCAAGATTTTTATTAAGACTAGGATTAGGCACATCTGATGTGTTTTCTCCTTTAACATTTATGGGAGGGATAGCTCTATTAGAAGTGTTCATATTCTCATTAGTAATAGGTTGGATTTAGAAAGTTGTGGCATTTGAGGATGTTAGTTGGGAGATAAGCTCTTCCAATTTTTGCATCCCTTTTAAGGAAGTTTAAATCATCTTCATCAATTATTGGATATAGACAGCGACCTGGACATCTTGAATTATAGTAGAATCTTTCATTTTTCTTAAATGAAATAAAAGCAAACTTTCTTACTCAATGCAATTATTCTTCCCCAACAGAGTCACCAAAATTAAATTGGTGATGAGATGAAGCATTACAAACAAGTAAAATGAGATATGTTCAGAGATAATGAGATATGTTGAAGATAACAAAAAGAATGACTAAAGCAGACTCTAGAGTATTGAGTACAACATTAAGTGGTGACAGATAATGAAGTAAGCACTATAAGAAAATTGATATATAGCAGCCCTATTTTGAAACGACTTTAAAATATCATTGTGAAATATTGTTATAATTACAATGACTTTTTATAATTGTTGTTTAATTGAATTTTTTAATATTTCATACAACGACAAATTTTATTGTTGTGAATCCCCCTTCTATTTGTAATGACAATAAAAAGTTATTGTGAAAACATATTATATTTGCAACTATTTATCAATGTTGTTGCTTAAGTTTGTTTTTAATATTTTATACAACGACAAAAAAGTTGTTACAAAAATTTTTATCATATTTGTAATGATAAAATATTATTATTGTGATTTTTTTTTATTTTCAATGATTTTTCAATTTCGTTACTTAATTTATTTGTTTAATATTTTATACAATGACAAAAAAAAATTATTACGAAAATTTATTTCATATTTGTAATGATAAAAAATTATTGTTGCAAAAAACTTTTTTTATTAGAAACGATTTTTCAATATTGTTGCTTAATTTATTTGTTTAATATTTGATACAACGATAAAAAAAGGTTGTTACAAAAATTTTTATCATATTTTTAATGATAAACAATTATTGTTGTGAAAACCATTTTTATTCACAATGATTTTTCAATGTCATTACTTAATTTATTTTTTAAAAATTTTATACAACGACCAAAAGTTGTTACAAAATTTTTTATCATATTTATAATAAAAAAAATATTATTGTTGCGAAAACTTATTTTATGTGCGATGATTTTTCATTGTCATTGTTTAATTTATTTTTAAAAAATTTTATACAGTGACAAAAATATTGTTATGAAAACTTTTATCACATTTATAATGATAAAATATTAGTGTTCTAAAAACTTATTTTATTTGCAATGATTTTTCACTACTGCTACTTAAATTATTTTTTAATAATTTTATACCACGACAAAAAGGTTGTTATGATAAATTTTATCACATTTGTAACAATAAAATATTATTGTTGCAAAAATTTATTTCATTTGCAATGATTTTTCAATGTCATTACTTCATTTATTTTTTAAAAATTTTATACAATGACAAAAAAATTGTTACGAAAATTTTTATCATATTTGTAATAATAAAATATTATTATTGCAAAAACTTATTTTATATGCACCATTTCATATGTATAAAATGACACTTATTAAATACTTTTGTATTATGTAATATAAGCAATGAGAACAACCCAGAGGAAAATGTTGAACAAATTGAAAGCCTAATCATCAACCTCGCACCCAAACATTAGACTCATGCATAATTTTATCTAATTTTTATGTCAATTCTATTCCATTATGATACATTTTGCTTATGAATTTCCTCTACCTTTTATGTATAAATTATAATTCAATTTGTAATTAAAATTTAATTTTTCATTATTGTTTATCTTAAATTTTTCACAATTAAATTCCATTATTTAGCTTATAATATTTATTGGTCAAAAAATACTTTCAACATTCAATGTTAACACTAAATAAGAATATATGTATATTTTCATGCATTAACGTTAAAGAATTTAAATTTAAATTATTATTGGAAGATCAAATTTTAATTTTATATATTATCGTTCTAACAATACTACATTAAATGGAGGATTTCTTTTCTAACACATAAGAAAAGAATTAATTTGAGTTGTATCCAATTAATTAATCCATATAAAAATACATTTTAAAAAATTATTACCTTAGAATAGGAGTCTACTTGGATTGTTTAGTTCTGCTCACTATAAAATTTTCAATTTTGGCTCTTCAAACTATCTTTTTAATATATCTAATACAAATATATAGAAAGAGATTTTTTTTTTTTTTATATACATAGTCAAACTTACTGAAATGTGAAAAATCCTGAAAATCATATTTTTTAAGTGAAATTGTTTTGATTTGATTTGATTTAATTTAAATTTAAAAAATTATTTTGAACAACAAATTGTACTTTGTTTCCTTAAGCATTTTCAATTTAATTACTTTTTTACATTTTTCATAAATTTGATGACAATGTATGACAATTAATACAGGTTCAAATTTCAAAACTAAATTCAATTCACAATCATCAATCTAGCTTTTCAACTCGTACAATATATGAATTGATTTTATCTATTATTTAAATATGTATGAATACATAAATTATTATTCTTTCTAGAATTATATTTAAAATTTTAAAACGTATATATAAGATATATTATAAAAAAAATTAAAATTTTGAAAAACTGAAAATGAAAAAATTTCAAATATATATTAAACAATATTAGTTAAAATAGTTAAATTAAATTAAATTTCTTCAAGTTTAAACCCAACACTCACATCAAGCATTAAATGGTCAATAATTACGAGTTCAACATTCATAATAATACCATTGAAAATTGAGCCAGCGAGGAAAGCGCGGCCTTCAAAATACACACAAGCTTTTCGTCCAAAAATCTTTGTTACCATTGAAGCAACAATGCAATCTACCCAAGCCGTTAGGTAGAGGGAAGAAGTGAACAAGGCTAATAGCTAGCTATCAAATTTGTAGTACTCACTTTCATGATTAGTTTCATCGTTCATTGTTTTGTATACAAAGAGAAGAACTTCTATAAGAATTGTTCAATTGAGGTCAACCACATGCAAATATTACAAAAAAACTCAATTCCAGATCTTGAAAATGTTTTTAAAAGAGATGAAATACAAATCTAATATTTCAAGGTCATAACTAAAGAAAATTTAATTTTTCTTATATTTTGAAAAATTAATTGAATGTACATTACATTATTTATTTTTTAAAATAACAACAACAACATTGTTGAATGAGTAGTTAATTTTTTATATATACAAACATAATAACACAGGCGAAGCCACAGTAGATTTCAATAAAAGAGTAGGTTTCGAAAGTAGAAAAAAAGTACTGCAAAACCGCTTAGCCAAGGTTCCGTTTGATTACGCTTACAGAAAGCCCTTGAAACACACAGCAACTCTAAAAACTTTTACCACCAAACAAACACCGCCCTCTAAACCCCAAAAATGAAATCATACTACTTTTGCCTCCTCTCCCATTTTCTCACTATTAACTCGATTCTCTCCATCCAGCTCTTCCAGTATCCTCTCTTTCATTTCCCTCTCTTTTTAGGGTTTTCCTTGCACCTCCGATCCACTGAATCATTTCCAACACCCCCAAGAAAAAACCCAGAAATGGCAGTCGTAACTGCAGCACAGCCGTGTTCTTCCAAGACGGAGTCCTACGTGGGCAATAAGCACCAAGGAGACATCAGCCAAGTTAACATCAACGTCGCCCGAGCCGTGGCCGACGCCGCCCAAACCAGTTTAGGACCCAAAGGCATGGAAAAAATTATCTCAATTGCCAACGGCGAAGTCATCATAACCAACGACGGCGCCACCATCTTAAACAAAATGGAGGTCCTCCAACCCGCCACTAAAATGCTTGGCGACCTATCTAAATCGCAAGACGCCGCCGCTGGTGACGGCGCCACCACGGTCGTCGTCATCGCTGCTGCACTCCTTATGCAAGGCCTGTCCCTTCTTACCCACGGTATCCACCCCCTATTATCTCCGATTCTCTCCGCAAGGCTTCGATTAAAGCGGTCGATGTCCTCAACGCCATGGCCGTCCCTCTCGAGCTCTCCGACCGGGAATCCTTAATCAAATCCGCCAGCACTTTGTTGAACAACAAGGTTGTTAGCCAATACTCAACTCTTCTGGCGCCACTAGCCGTTGATTCTGTTCTCTCTGTCGTTTACCCTAAAAAGCGGGTTGAACCCTATTGCTATTGTGACTGAGCTGAGGAATCGGCATGCCCAAGGGGAGATCAAAGCTGGGATCAATGTGAGAAAGGGACAGATTACTAATATCTTGGAGGAGAATGTGGTGCAACCTCTGCTTGTAAGCACAAGTGCAATTACACTGGCAACAGAGTGTGTGAGGATGATTTGAAGATTGATGATATTGTTAACGTGAGGTAGTTGTGTTTTTCTGTTGTAAATGGGGAATAAAAGTTCTCTGTGTTGTTGCTTCTCTAGTGATAATTGGTTTCGTCCCAAAGTTAGCTTTTTTTTTTGGCTTATTTTTTTACTCTAAAAATTGTTTCTTTTGATCGGAGTGTTAGTTTATAGATATTGCTTTATTGCAGGTGGAAGTGGAATTTTTGATGAGTTTTTTTGAGAGTGGAATACAATAGAATACGGGGATTTTTGAGGTAATATTAATACATGTCGAACTAATAGTGTGTTTGGATTGAGGAAAAGTGAAAAGAAATTAAATTTTTTCTCTCCTTTGGATAGGAAAGTGCGGAGGAAAATGAGAAGGGAATTTTCAAATCTCTATAAAAGTGGGGAAATTGGAGAGAAAGAAACTAGCTGATGTGATACTTTCCAATTTCTCTTAATAGGATTTATGTATATTGTTGGGTTTATAATAACAAATAACGTCATAAATTGCATAAATGATGTTGATGTTGTGCGAAAGTTTCTCTCATGCTACTACATTTGCTTTGGAAACCTAATGTTTTAGTTTCTAAAAATGTTGCTGATTTCTATAAGCTTTTCGAATTAGATCTGTATGGATGTAGTTTTCAATGTTCCTCGATTATCTTGGCTTTTGATCTTGCTGATATAAGCCTTAAAATCTTTCCATTTTGCCTTAAAATCTTTCCATTTTCATTGGCTCCTATTTATGATGCTATATTATATGAAATTATGTGTTCAACCTATACAAAATTAGTGTCTTGGGTGCATGGTATAATGTTTTTATCCAGTGAATGATACTTAATTATGCAACGCCTCTTATACTCCAAAGAGAAAGCTCCTCATATTTATATTCTGGATTGCCTTGAATTTTGAAATAGGATGCTTTTATATGTCTTAGATGAGTCTCCTTTTATGATGAAATATCAATGCTGTGCTTCCTATTGGAAGGGTTGCTTTTGTTTGTATGTACTGTCTTTCGTGAACCTATCCTATGCAGGAATATACCAAGAATTGTTCCTGGTACTGATTTCTTCTCACTGTAGCAACCTAACTGAAATGTTGTGAAAGCTGCTATGAACTTTTTCTCCCTAATATAGGTTGGAAGAAACCCATATGTATCGGCAGACATGCCATTAGTGATCAGTGCCGCACAACTGATACATTAATTACTGGACCAAGAAAGCTTAAGATGGTTTTTGGTGAGCTGATTAACCATCATTCATGAATCGGTGCCATGTAACTAAGCTGGAAAATTCTTATTTGTTAAAATTCTAATTCTTTGCTGCATTTTGTCTTCTTTTTTTTTTTTTCTTTCTCAATCCTAGAAGGTAGAGACAAGCCAGTGGCACTTAATGTCTATAATTTTAAAGGTTCTAGTGTAGCACTTACTATGTATAACGTTGATGAGGTTGTAAATTTGAATTCTTTTTCCCATATGTGTATATCAACGTTTTGTAGGATAGTATAATTGTTGCATTAAAAAATTATAATTGTTGTATGTGCTTTAAAAAAATGTATTGTAATTCATAACAAAATGTATTTTTTATGTTAATATTAATTTTATTTATTTTTTTGACCAATTATTATATTTAAATAAAATGATAGGATTAGTATTTATTAAAATAAAGAATACAATATTAATTTAAATATTTGAAACATTTTTTTATTATATTTATGAATAAAATAATAATTGAAATGATTTTATGATTGACAATAATAATTTTTTTGCGAAAAAGTATAAAAAAAATTTTAAATGATTTATTTAACAATAATAGTTGTTGTTACAATTAATTAAATTGGTTATGAAAATTAAAAAAATCATTACGAAGAGTAATTTTATCAACAACGATAGTTGATATGTAAAAGATATTTCAACAACAATACTAGTTATTAAAATTATTTATCAAAATGGTAAATATCATGATGTTAAAGATAATTAGTAATTATATAATATTATGTTGCAAAATATTATAAGGTAGCAAAAATAATATTGTTATGTAAAAAGTTTTTGTAACCAAATTTTATGGTTGCTAAAATAAAGTTAAAACAACAACATTTAATCGTTACAAACTATTTTATGTAACCAAAATAATATTGTTCGTAAAAGTTTTTCTAACAAAATTTATGATTGCCAAAATGAAGTTTATATAACACTATTTTGCCATTGCAAAATAATTTTTTAGCAACTACATTTTTTTGTTATATAAAAAATTTGGCAACCAAAAAAGTATTGTTATGAAAAAATTTTGGCAACCATAATAATAATGTTACATAAAATTTTTTGTAACCAAAATCCATTGTTGCTAAAATAAATTTTTCCCGACTTTTATCATTGTAAATATATGATTTATATAGCAACAACTAAAAGTTGTTACAATATCTTTTCTTTTTTAATGATACTATAAGTTGTTGCATTAACTCGTAAACAACGGGATTAATAACAACGACCTCATAACGACAAAAAATCATTTCAAAACAATTTTAACAATGATAAAGACCTATTTAACAATAATTTTGACTATTGCTAAATCTCCTTAGAAAGAAGAATAAGGCTGAAAAAAGAGCTTGAGAAAGAGAATTGTAGAGAGAGCTTGAGAGGAGTTGTAAGAAATCTACTAAAAGTCCAAATGAATGGTGGGAGCATTTTTATATAGGACTTAATAAGAGTTATTAACATGATATTAACTAGGCAAAGTGATAGAAATTGATAGTTACAAATGTGTTAATACTTTACCTTATGGGAGTTTAGCTTTTGCTGTGAACATAGAAGTTCACTATCTGTTCTGAAAACCAGGGAGAAGTGCTTATGTTTTAGAGAAAAGTTAAATGAGACCTCTTAGCTATCTTTATATCTGAACCATTAGGCCATGCTCTTCAAATCATCTTAATAGTGAAGTTAGTCTATGAACCATGTCATATTTTCAAGTTATTTTTACTTCTTTTCAGTGAAGTAACATTCAACGAAATGTATTTTGTAGAATAATTCTCAATAAAGTAACTTTCATTGAAAGAGCTTTCAGTAAAGGTATTGTTTAGTGAAAGTGTTGTTCAAAAAAGGCATTAATGCTATTTTATGAAAGTGTTATACCTTGTAAACGTTGTTACATTAAGGTATATATTGTTCCTTAAAGGGTTAAATATATATTTGACCACTAAACTTTGTAATTTTTATCATATTCGTACCTATAATAATTTTTTTATCATGTTGGTACCTAAACATTTAAATCTATTATCACGTTGGTACCTAAAACTAATGTTCTTAGTCAACTTTACTAACGTAGCATGAATATCCAATAAGATGTTGATATATGTTAAAAAAGTTCAATCATTATCACATCATTAATGTCATTTCATCTTTAAAAGAAAATTTTCAAAAAAAAAAAAAATTTCTCAAAAAATTTTAAAAATAAAAAAAAAATTCTAATTTTTTTCAAAATTTTTAAATTTCCTAAAAATTATAAAAACTTCAAAAAAAATTTTAAAAGCTTAAAAAATAAAATAATTTTAAATTTTTTTTTAATTTTAAAAAAAATTAAATTTAAAAAATTATAAACAATTTTTTAAAAACTTTTCAAAAAATTCTAAAAAAATAAAAAAAATTTACAATGCAATAAAATTTTTAACATTTCTCAAAAAATTTAAAAAATTCAAAACAATTCTAAAAAATTCTAAAAACTTTTGAAAAATTATAGAAAACTTTTTTAAAAATTTAAAATTTATAAAAATTAATAATATAAATATATTTATAAATTATATAAATTATCACAATTTGGAAAATTTTTAAATTTTTGAAAATTTCTTAACAATAAAAAATTCAAAAATTTTTCAAATTTATAAAAATTAAATTTTCTTAAAGTTTAAAAAAATCACAAAAACTTAAAAATTTTAATAAAATCCAAAAAAATTCAAAAGTTTAAAAAACTTAATAAACTTTAAAATTAAAAAATCTAAAAATAAATAAACTTAAAATTTTAATAAAATCCAAAAAGTTACAAAAGAAATTTAAAAGTTCAAAAACTATATAAAAAATTGAAATTGTGAGATTAAAAAGTAAGTAAAAATTTTAGAATTTTTTCAAAATTTTTAAAATTATTATATTTTTCCAAAAAACTTTGGATTTAGTTTTTTTGAGCTGTTATATTTTTTTAAAACTTTAACAAATTTTTAAATGTTATTAAAATCATCATTTTTTTATTCTTTTAATTTTTTGGATTTTTTTTAAATTTGGAATTGTTTTTGAAAATTTTTAAGTTTCCTTAATTCTTTTTGAATGTTTTAAAGTTTTCTAGAATTTTTATATTTTTTTTTCAAAATTTTTAAATTTTTTTAAAGTTTTTAAATTTTTTTGAAATTTTAAAATTTTTCCAAATGTTTGAAAATTTTTATATTTTCTAAAATTTTTAGAAGCTTTTAGAATTTATTTTAAATATATTTTTTATTTTTTTAATTTTTTGAAAAGTTTTGGAAATAATTCTAAAATTTTTAGAATTTTGAATAAGTGTTTGAATTTTTAAAAATTTTCACAATTTTTTTTAGATTTTTGAATTTTTTGTAATTTTTAAAAAAAAATTTGGAATTTTTAAAAATTTTTGAATTTTCAAAATTTTATATATGTTTTCAAAATTTTTGGAAAATTTTTAGAATGTTTAGAATTTATTAAAATTTTTCCTATTTTTG